CTGCAGGAACTGCCTCGACCGTCGCTTCTTACCGGTGAATAGTTATTTTGTTCCTTTTAGGGATGCCTGAATCTTGTCTGCGCAAACCACTGATGGTGCTGAAAAAAAAATCTGCTTAATATGCTTACATGACTCCAGTTGGTCGCTATATCTACAAGGCTTTAAAAAATTTTAGTAATAGTCCCCGTGTTGTCTCTCCCTATTTCCCTGCTGACTGGCTTTACTGGCTATTTGTCTCTGTCCATCTCCTTTCTTCTGAGCAGAGCTTGGAGTCCCAACTGGGGCGCCTCCTCCTGAAGCCCCTCCAGGGCTCCCAGGACATTGCACCAATACAACTAAGACCAAGGGCAACATGTTTGGTTAGTAAAACCCTACCTCGGCTCCATAAATCCTGGAACGTTACCTAGACAATACTTTTGACCAAATACTTTTCTCCCTCTGTTTCTGGAGCACACCCTTGTCTAGGCACGAGGCTCCAGCTGAACCACGCACAAGATTCCCAGTTGTCGCTGCCTCACGGTAGCAACGCCACAGCCCTGGTTTGGAGGCAAAACCGTACACGAACAAAATCTAAACAAGCTGGAGGGTTAAACTTGCTCCCTAAAACTTCAGCGAGGGATTGGCAGCTCCAGCCACCTGCCCCACTGTCCTGGCTCTGCCCTGCAGCCTCTCCAGGCTGCCCCGCCACAGGCTGCAGACCTCCAAAATCAGATTGCACAGGGAGCAAATACAGCAGGAGCCTGCAGTTCACGGCCTTACTTGGACAAGGGGAACAAACCGTGCAAGTTACATGCAAGGTTTTTTCCAACCTTTTAAATGTTCTTTGAATGGAACGGCAATCAGAGCACGCTAGTGGTCTGCACCACCAGTAGGTCGATCTTGGAGATCGGGTCTCCTAACCTTGGTTTCTGCTTGGAAGTGTCATGGCTTATTTGACCTTTTTTATCTTCTGGGGTTGGGGTGTTTTTTGGTAAAAGTAAAGGTCACCTTTGAAACCTAATGGTCATAAACCAAGATGTATCATTCTCAGTGTAAAAACTTGTAACATACAAATAATTTTGCTTTGAGGAAAGCCAGCTTGTGCAGTATCTTTTACTTTATTCCTTGGGAGTAAAGGTTGGGTTTCAGTAGATCCATTACCACTTGTGTTTCATGGGTAGAATATTTATGAACAGAGAGAGATTGTCCAATTTGAAAAATCCACTGTAGTGTAACCCCTTGGGCTAAAAGCTGTTGCAGCTATGTAGATATTGTAAGTATTTTGGGTATTTACTTGATGTATCCCATAGTTTAAATCAGTTAATGATAAAAAAAAAAGGAGGCAGTCCTCTTTTTATGCAGATAACAATGTCCCTGCCACACAAAGCTCAATGAGTGCTGGTTAATAGCTGACACAAAGTTGAGCAATAAGCTTTCTTAACAAATAGCTAGTCTGAACTCCACAGCATGCTTTTCAAATATCACCTATGATTATCGTTTCAGAAATAACTTATCCTACTGGGCACGGGGGAGGATAATTTCAGAGTACTTTGCAAGCCTATTGGAGTTGGCAACGGATAGGCTTGCCTAATGCCGGGGAGGTGTCTCAAAGCATCAAGGTGCCACCAGAAGGCAATTTAAATAGCGTGAGGGCTAGTTATAATGGCGAGGGGAAAGAAAACTTTATGTGTGTGGTCAACAGTGTGCTGTCCCCCTGATGCCCACACGCAGGGGGGCCGGCAGCGAGCACTACCCGGGGCAGGGGCGCAGGCACCTGGCCACACAACCCACAGGGCTCGTCGGCCACCACCATGGGGCTGGAGCATCCTGCAGCCGTGCCCTGGGACCTACCCGGGGCCACCACCAGGCAGGTCCCAGGAGGGGGGCCGCCACATCGGGCATGTCCCTGCAAGATCACTGCTGGGACAGTGATCTTGCCTCTTAGCCGGGAGTTGCCAGCCCTCAGTGCCGTGCCCCAAGGATGCCCCTGGGGGATGCACCCCACCTGCCCTGCAATGAGCCACACAGCTACCCTGATCCGCTCATTCCCACTCCCAGATTCCCAAATTTTATTTCAGCTGGCACATCCTAGTCCTGTATTACTCTTGGTGAAGGATTTTCACTTCTTCTTAAGTAGAGCTTCTTCTTGGTTATTTTGATGTAACATTTATGATCCAAAGCAAATTAACTCTTTCTCCCCTGATTTCAGTGTAGGATCCTCTGCACTGACAGTGCTATTAAAGATTTCTGTATAAGTCCATAGTGGCTTTGTGCAGGCAAGTGTTCATGAGCTCTAAGTCTGCTCTGAAGTAAGGTGAAGGCAAATTAAATTATGTCATAAATGACCAGTTGTACTATCTGCGTATCCATCTACCTATGGATATCTTTTTTCTGTTATTACTAGCAGCAAATTAAGGCTGCAAACGCCAGTCACATCTAACCATGTGGGGAAAGCTGGTGCCAAAGTGGGTGCAAAGACAGACCTTAGCTTAACGAGCCTAAGTGGAAGAAACTTCATCCTCTTTTTGATTACCTCATCTGTGACACCCTACTGTGTCTCTACAGCTCTGTCACTGCCTGTGGCAGCGGCTGCTGAGCAAAGGCTGTGCAGCAGTACCGCTTGAGAGCAGCTGGAAATCACTGTCGTCACCTGGCCACTGGTGAACCTGGGTATGGCCAAGGAAGTTTTGGGGTGTGAGGCATGTTCGGTTTCCAGCGTGGTGGTTTCAAACACCTATCCCAAGTGAGAACAAGAGCTGCAGCTGCTGTGTGTGCAGCCCAGCCATGTTACTTTGCTCAGAGGTGACAAACGTTACAAAAAGATCTCCTTCCACCCCATGCAACTTTTTGCAGAGCAGCACAAATGCTGCTCCAGTTCAGGCTTTGCAGAATTGGGGCCTAAAGGAGCACAAAAGGCAGTGAATAATCTGAGGCCTGGACATGCTACATCCAGGGCATCATGCAGAGCGTGCACAGCCGCTGTGCACTCTGCCAGGACAGGGCAACAATCTCCTTTCCTTTCCAAAATCCTTCCTAAGAGATCTATACTTGCTTAGCTTCTGAACAGCCAGGCAGGCTGCATTGATGTATGCACTGAGTAACTTGGAGAAAGTCACTCATGGTCTTGTGTCTCAGTGTTAAGAAAGGACTTGTACAACCTCATGAGCCTGCAACAGTAGCTGAAAGGATGAGAAACTGGGTTAGAAGACCCAGGAAGACACAGCTATGGTCCTAGCTCCACCTGGACATAGAGATGATAAAAGCTTTGAAGCGTTTTTCTTCAGGAATAGGGAAGCACTTAATTTATTCTCTTGCAAAAAATGCTACAAAAGTATGCCAAGAGCCAGTCTGATTTATCCTCCTCCCTCCCCTCCCAGAGAGGGACTGGGAGAGGAGCCAGGACCTGCTCAGTGTGGGTGCAGACAGTAACATTGGATTTCACTATTGCTTGGCAGAGATTAACTAGGTGAGCTTCTCAGCCAAGCCATAAAGCTCATCTGACCAGGAGCCTGTCCCCAGGGTGGAGAAATTTTATTTTGTGTAGCCCAAAACCAAACCTGTATCTGTACCTGTAGTACCTGTAATAGGGTACCCTAGATATTACTGCTAAGAAAAAGAAATCATACCTGATGAACCTAAGCATTGTATTTCACCTGTCACAGCAATGTCTGTCAAAACATAAAACCTGACAAGACCTCAAAACTCATCACTATGTATAAATTGATTATGGGATTGAGCAGATGCAAAGGGAATGTGAATTGCTTGAAATCCCATGCTATTAACCCAGAAACACTGACAGGTCTTGAACCAGTTGACAGGCAATAATAAGCAACAACCTAGCTCCACTGACACATTTCAAGGCTGATGATACAATGGACTACAGGGATGTAGTTTAAGGGTAAGGACATCTTTCTGAACAGAACAAGATGAAAATGAGCAGCATGGAAACCACTGCAAAACCAAATCCCAGTGATATAGTGGGAACAGCTAGCTAAAGAAGCGGGTATCACTGAAATATTTTGAGGTCCGCAAACACTGGTCTTCCAACTGAAAACTTAGTTGCTACAAAGCTGTGCATCGCACTAATTTCCAAAAGTTCATCCAAGATGGTGTGTTTGTGGGCTTTTAGAAGTATTGGCCCCAGACTGTAAGGATACAATGATCCTGGTGGTTATCTGTGAGTGACGAGATATTTCATACACGTGTTGTTTTCCCCATGACAGAACACCATCACAGAAGAAAAAGTTCAGAGGATGAAGGAGCAGTTCATGTCTGCCTATGATGTCACCACAGATGGACGCTTGCAAATCCAAGAGGTACCTCTCCCCAACCCCAGACCAGAATTTCTTTTTCAGAAGAAGGGACCTAGAGCAGACTTGGGAGATGTAGGAGATAGATAGAGCCTGGGTGGGGAGGAGGTGAGTCACGGACTACTATATTAGCCAAATCTCATGGTTTGGGGTTTATTTCCAAGGCAACAACATGACCAGCTTGTATTTCTCATACTGAGTCAGGAGCTGTACAAGTTTTTTCGTATCTTTACTTTCATGGTTTGGGTTTAGTTTGGGGATTTTTTTATGCTTTTTTTTTTTTTCAGCTTGCAAATATGATGTTGCCAGATGATGAGAACTTTCTGCTGCTTTTCCGAAGGGAAACTCCCTTGGACAACAGTGTGGAATTCATGCGGGTCTGTATCTCCACATTGTCTCTTCCCCTTGCACATCAACAGCTTCTTCAATACTTACACTTCCACCCTCCATAGAACATAGTATGGGAAATATGTGGTTATTGTGGAAGCAAAACATGTTCAGGCCTGTTCAGGTAGGCGAAGGTTATACCATTTTACCCTGATGAATTATCCTGGTGGGGTGTGGGGTGGAAATGTCCATAAGCTGGGCCAACTGAGGAACACAAACCCATAAGTTTTCCTTGACCATGCCCAATATCCCTCCACTCTCTGCCCCTAAGCATCCCAGCACAGAATTTCATTTTTTGCAAGACTGCTTACAGTTAGTTTTATTTCACACCCAAACTGGGAGACTTCTGCATATCAATGGCCAGTTATGTATGGCCTTGACTTTTACTCAGGGCAATAAGAGAAGCTGCATGTACAAATTAGGTAAGAAACATGGAGCAGTTTCTTAGTCTTTGCTTCCTTTTATAGGCAGTGTGTCTCCATTAAATATGTGACAGCAGCATGTCACACGTACAGCATCCAAATGCGAGTAAAAGCTATTGTGTGGAAAGTTTATTTTATTTTGTCTACAATTAATTAAATATTGGATAATGCAACAGCTTGCTCATTATGGAAGTCATTATTTGAATCTTTACGATCTATCACCCCAGCAGATGATTAACTGCAATATTTATGTGGTCATATCAATCTATCTCCATTCAGATCTGGCGCAGTTACGATGCTGATAGCAGTGGATTTATTTCAGCTGGCGAGCTCAAAGTAAGTTATTCTAACAAGTCTGTTTGGGCTTGATCTACATCTCACTGATGTCAACAGGAGCCTTTCCATCAGCTTTACCAATTTACTGCCTTTTTGTGTGGTTTACCAGTGGTGTTTTTACGTTGTTCCCGGAGAGTTGTGGCACAGTTGCAGGGACCCTGCCGGGATGTATAAAATCATAGCAAAATAGAATCATTTAGGTTGGAAAAGACCTTTAAGATCATCAAGTCCAACCATAAACCTAGCACTGCTAAGTCTACCACTAAACCATGCCCCTAAGCACCACATATACATGTCTTTTACATACCTCCAGGGATGGTGACTCAACCACTTCCCTGGCCAGCCTGTTCCAATGCTTAACAACCCTTTCGGTAATGAAATTTTTCATAACACCCAATCTAAACCTCCCCTGGCACAATTTGAGGCCATTTCCTCTTGTTCTATCACTTGCTACTTGGGAGAAAAGACTGACACCCACCTCACTACAACCTCCTTCCAAGTAGTTGGAGAGAGCCATAAGGTCTCCCCTCAGCCTCCTCTTCTCCAGACTAAACAAACCCCAGTTCCCCCAGCCGCTCCTCAGATGACTTGTGCTCTAAACCCTTCACCAGCTTCATTGCCCTTCTCTGGACACGCTCCAGCACCTCAATGTCCTTCTTGTAGTGAGGGGCCCAAAACCTTACCAGTGCTGAGTATAGGGGCATGATCACTTCCCTACTCCTGCTGGCCACACTATTGCTGATACAAGCCAGAATGCTACTGGCCTTCTTGGCCACATGGGCAGGCTGCTGGCTCATACTCAGTCTGCTGTCGACGAACACATCCAGGTCCTTGTCCACTGGGCAGTTTTCCAGCCACTCTTCCCCACGTGTTATAGGGCTTCATTCTGCTGCTCATTCCTGTCTTCCAGCTCAGGGGGCTGGGTACCCAGGGAACAACTGGTCTTTACTATTAAAGACTGAGGCAAAGGCGGCATTAAGCACCTCGGTCTTTTCCTCAGCCTTTATCACTATGTTTCCCTCCACATCCAATAAAGGATGGAGATTTTCCTTAGCCCTCCTTTTGTTGCTAATGTACTTACAGAAGCATTTTTTATTGCCTCTTATGGCAGTAGCCAGATTAAGTTCTAGTTGAGCATTGGTCCTTCTAAATTTCTCCCTGCATAACCTCCTGATACCCCTGTGGTCCTCCTGAGTTGCTTACCCCTTCTGCCAAGGGTCATAAACTCTCAGTTTTTTTCCTGAGTTCCAGGCAAAGCTCTCTGTTCAGCCAGGCCGGTCTTCTTCCCCACCACCTTGTCTTTTGGCATATGGGGATGGCTTGCTCCTGTGCCTTTAAGATTTCCTTCTTGAAGAATGTCCAACCTTCCTGGACTCCTTCACCCTTCAGGACTGTCTCCCAAGGGACTCTGTCAACCAGGCCTCTAAACAAGCCCGAGTCTGCCCTCAGTAAGTCCAAGGTAGAATGATTCAGTTCTGCTGAATTGAAAATTGTAATTTTAAGATCGCTACGCCCAAGATGGCCTCCAACCATCACATCACACACAACTCCTTCTCTGTTCACAAACAACAGGTCCAGTGAGGCACCTTCCCTAGTTGGCTCTCTCAACATCTGTGTCAGGAAGTCATCTGTCACACACCCCGGGAACGTCCTGGACTGTTTCCTCTCTGCTGTGCTGTATTTCCAGTAGGCATCTGGGAACTTCAAGTCCCTCATAAGAACAAAGGCTAGTGATTGCAAGACTTCTCCCAGTTGCTTATAGAATATTTCATCTGTCTCTCTTTCCTGGTTGAGTGGTCCATAACAGACTCCCACCATGATATCTGCCTTGTTGGCCTTCCCCCCTGATTCTTACCCATAAACACTCAACGCCATTGTCACCATCACTAAGCTCTAGACAATCAAAACCCTCCCTAACGTACAGAGCTACCCACTGCCTGCCCTTCCTTGCCTATCCCTTCTGAAAAGCTTATAGCCATCCACTGCAGCCCTCCAGTTGTGCGAGTCATCCCACCATGTTTCTGTGATGGCAACTCTGTCATACTTTTCCAGCTGCACAATGGCTTCCAGCTCCTTCTGTTTGTTGCCCACGCTGCGTGCATTGGTGTAGGTGCACTTCACTTGGGCTATTGATCCTGCCACTTTTTTGGGGGGAGAAGCCCTAATTCCTACATGACTGTCCTCAGGCACTTCAGTGGTTTCTAACACATCAATAACCCTTGCGTCTTTGCTGCCGCATGGACCTCCATTCCCTACCTCCACAGAGATGGCAGGCTGAAGGACCTCGCTAGCACACTGTCCTTCAAACATTGGTGTGCTGCACTCAGGTTCATCTCTAGCGAGCCTGGTTTCATCTCTTTTCCCTTTCAAATCAGACAGTATGCTCTGCTGTTGTCCTTCTTCCCCCTTCCCTTGACGCATGAACCCACTTGTCTCAGTGCCCCCCAAGCACCTGAGGAACTCCCCAAGCATGCCTCACCTTGGCTTTGCACCTGTGCCTCTCCCAGCTAAACAGGTAAAGCCGTTTTGTTTTATTAATGGGATTTCTTCCTAATCTCTTCCAAGACTGCAGATTTTCTGAACACTGATTTCTTATTAAAGCTCAGGCTATTGAGGCAGAAGCCTGCTCAGAAACTGGCCAGGAACAGAAGTCCATCCCTGGGCTGCAGGCCCTGTGCTGACCTCTCAGCCAGCCTGAGCCCTACCAGAGACATGAGTGGATGCTTAAGTGTTTTGCTGAATGGCAAATATTTTGATTTGCGATCAGTTACCAAATATTGCAGGACTGTTGTTACCTTTTGCTTATTTTGGGGGTTAATTATGACTTATTCCAGTATGCCTGCTCTGGGGAAATTTGGTTATTTTCTGATTTATTTGAAATAATATGTTTCAACTAAGAAAATGTGACCTTTATGTGAAATTGAAGACACTAATACTAATCAGGAATGTGAAATTAGATTCATGTAACCCTGCTGAATTTGGGTCAAATTTCTTACTGTTATTTCTTGAATTTACTCTAAAGAGTAAACTTTGCCTCTTTCCTTACTACAGGATTTCCTACGAGATCTCTTTTTGCAGCATAACAAGACAGTTGCAGAAGTAAAACTGGAAGAATATACTGATACCATGGTAAGAAAAGATAGTGTTAATATTGTATAGATTATAGTACTGCCTAAAAATCTCCCTCAGGGTCAATGTCTCTAGGGCCATAAATGCCCTCTTAAAAGGTATATCTTCTCCAAGAGATCCCTGTGGAAAGTTAGCACATGCTCCTGCTGTTTCTTTGCACTGCACTGGACATCAGCTGCGAACAGCATTTCATATATTTTTGCTTGGAGTTGAACTGTTTATTACGAGAAAATAGCTTGACTTTATGCCAAAGCAAACTGAGCCCTAAACCTATTTAAAAAAAAGTAGTTGAGGTCCATCCTTCTTCAGAGTAGGTTTAGCCTCAGCCATATCTCCAGCTCAGTCCCTCCCTCCTATCAAATCCTTTTGCTCCCAAGACAGACAGGTGTCCAGCTCTTCTGCTCTGCAAGGCCCAGCAAGCTTTGCTGGCTCCCTGCTGCTTCCCTGAAAGGCTGGGAAGTTGAAAGCTTCAACTCTTCCCCTGCCTTATCACAATATAGCTTTTATCCTGCAGTCAGCAACATAATATTTGGTGTAAGTTTAGCATCAGTCATCTGGATTTTAGAGCAACTTGTTATATCTAACTATCTAAAAACAAGAAAAGAAAAAAAAAAGCTAATTTCTGATGTCATTCTCAAGGATATCATCTGAGTTCCACTAGCAGACATCTACGATTGCAATATTCTAAATGATTTTCAGATAAGACTGCTTTGATTCTTGGCATAGCCTGTGTTTGTACCTAAAGAACAGCTTGGTATGCAAGCAAACAAGGCACTGCCCACATATTTCACAATACCATGTTATATATGCATGATGCATCTGTGCTTAGAAATGTGACTCTCTAGAGCAAAGTGAAAAACTATACCATTACGGAAGAGTGTAGATTTTTTTTTGTATTTATAGGACAGTGAAGGGAGAGTAATGCAAGCTACAGAAATTATTTTCCAGCTGGCAGAGCTTGAATACAATAAACCTCTATAAACTACAGCTAGAACAAAAACCTTCCTGGTAGTGCTTGTAGGTAGCAAATAGTTTTTATGCTGCTCCATTAAGGCTTCCATCCCCAGTGGCTAATCTCTGATCAGGTGCTGGGGAATAGGTGATCTGAAGCTTGTAGACACTGGGCAGTTCATTTCCTCCAATTTCTTTCCCCTTCCAATTATTTCCCAAGGAAGATCTGCGACTTCTGCTGCCCCAATGCAGCTAGATAGCAATGCAGCCCGGGGCTGGCAGCCAGTTCTGGTTTCTATTCTCATGGGTTTTTATCGATTGGCTTTGTATCTTTGGAGGGGCAATTTAGTCTCTACACTAGAGGATAAGATTTGATCTGGGAAAATGAATGCTTTGTACAACTGTGGAAATCTATGATCTGAAATGCAAATCTGGCTCGTGAGGACAAAAGTTGGCAAAGCCTCAATGCCAAAAGAATCAGGGATGTTAATGGTTATTAGAAAATGAGGATATGCAGATGATTTTTCCCCCTTGCAATTCTTTGCTAGAAACTGAATATCAAGGATGTTTACAAATACACTGGATCCCAAGAACTAAGGCAGGGCATGAAATTACAGCACGTGTAATCTTACCCTGTAGTAAAATAGAGGATATGAATTCTGTACATCACGGCAAAGTATGTACATGGACAGCATCTCTACAGTAGCAGATACACTGCACGATGTGATTACGTGAGAACTTATCTGAAGTAGGAGGGTAAAATTACAAGGAGGGAAGAAAGATTTAGTCTTACATTTGCAGTGCTGGATTAAAAAGGGAGAAGTGATTCAAGCAGCCAAGAGCAAAGGTATGATGTCAAGGCCCAGGGCTATGAGAGCTCTCTGTTTTCTCTCTCTGCTTTCCACATGAGTGGGGAGATGCTGAAGTGCAGAGTCCTGATGAGACTCTGCCACCATCACCACTGTCTGGGAAAACAGGGGGACAGTAGCCCTTACATTACATTCCTGAGTTTTTCACAGACCTTCCGTTGCATTGTTAGCAACCAGGAGCACCAATCCCTTTGCTGCAGAGTGGGAATACTTATATTTCTCTCCCCTATTACTTTGTTCCCATCTTTTTCTCTGTTTAGAGCACAAGGTCTTTGGGACAAGGACCTGTTTCTGCTGCACACAGCTACAGCATCTCTCAGGGTGGCCCATCTATCCTACTCAGGGCTTTCAAGTGCCACTGTAATAGCATTCAGTTGAAATAAGCTGTGTCCCAAGGAGCTGTAAACCCATCCATCTCCACAGATCTCTGCCCTCTCTTCTGTACATCCGCAGCTGGCTGCACACATCTTAAGCAGCTACTGATATGCTGAGTGGATCCTAGAGCCATCTGGAGATAGGGATAAAGGAGCAAAGATAGAAGCTATCATTTTAAAGAAGCTATCCCAGGCATGAGGAAAAAAAAAAGAAAAAAAGCAATTTATGATTCTGTGCTGGCTATTTGAGGCTTTAGCTTGTGAGAGGTATGAGCAGATATCATACTGACCAGGGCATGCTAAATACTTGCCACTTATTTATGCTGCTATGAATGTTCTTACACCACATTAAAAAAGCCTGGGAAGAGGGAGAAAGTATTTCTTTTGGAAGAGATTTGTTGTCTCTAGAAAGGAACATCACTTTATCAGGTTGCTTAGAAGCCATTTCTTAAGAGGCTATTCTGTTTCCTTGTGATCTTGACATTCTCTCTTCAGAGAACTGATATAGATCAGGGATTTGATGAACAAATGATGATCATTTGGAAAGAAAACAGGTACTGAATGCATTGGCATTGCACAAGCCCCATGAGTCTGCTAAATCAAATCTTAAAGAGCACTAACGCCACTGGGGAAAGTCATGAAAGAAGAACATTTGAATTCTCAAGACTCTTCATAAGGGAATTAAAGTAGCAGCCCTGTGCTGAGGAAGCCCCTTTGCAGGCAGATTTCTTGTTAGTTTTTGTGCCTAGGTATATATATGTTTGTATTAATGGTCATTAAGTGTGTATTTATATTTATTTACATGCACCTACTTGCATGAGAAGATATATGTGCAGTTCTGAACCCTTGAAAACAGTCTGTGGGTTTGTCATCTCCCGTGGGCATAGACCAAGAGCTGTTGGCAGGGAGTGGGTGCTCGGAGGCAGAAGCAAAGCTTTGTATTGCTCTGAGCCTCTCCGGGCCGTAAGAAGATGCCCCAGGGATCCTGCAATGTGTGCTCCAGGAGGCAGGGTGGGCATAGCTGAAAATGGAGGTTTTCAAGAGCATGGTGAGAATATTCTGCCTTCCTGAAATAACACAAGCTGGAGAAATGAAAGCTTGCCCCCTTGCTGCTTCATGTTGAGAAGGAGACTGTGGAGGACAACAGCAGAACTAACAACCTTTCCCAATCCTTCCCCACCTCCCCTTGGCCCACAGAGCCAAGCTGTTATCAAGCTTCTGGGTCCTGGGGAAGTTTCAGCCCATGAACACCCCACTCACGCATGCATTTGACAACATTTTGTCATGACTGACAACTTCCATACCTGTGCATGCGCATAGCTGGGTACCTAAGCAAAATATTGTAAAGGATATGAATCAGATTTAAGACATAGTTTCATCCTTTTTTCTTCCGTAAGAACAAAATTCTCACTCAGCTTTTCCATCTTGGCATATGTTATTACCTTGTTCCTAGAAACACTGATGGTTCATAACTTCCCAGATAGCAGCATGCTACCTCTAGTTTGTAATCCCAATGTCTGCAAGCCAAGCTCGTTACTGAGGCAAACTTCAGCAAAAGAAGGTATCTTTCACACGCAACGCTGACATTCACTTTTTGCGTTACCTTATGTCAATAATTTCAGACCAAGCATAAAAATGTCCTTTGATTTGAGCATTATTATATTTTAGAAAAATGTAAAGGATAACCCCCCCCGCCCCCAAGCCAGCACACCATCTTTGCCCACCACAAGCTAAAATTCTAGAGAGGCAATGATGTAAGTGTAGTGACTAACAATTCAACAAGCATTGGTCATGAACTACAGCATTTGAAAATTAGTAAATAGAGATGGCTGAGGATGAACTCTTAGCTCCAGAAACCTTCCCAGCTGTAATGATGCCAGGGTTTTGCTGTGCTTACCTGCAAAGGTTCTCCTGGGGACGGAGCTACGTACCCCGAGCACGTGAGCCTGCAGCTGACTAGCTGAGGGCTCCTCATCTTCTCGGTGCAGAGGGTAAAAGCTGGATTTCTCCCTGAAGACAGTCTGTGTCCATGAGTATGCATTGTGGACTACCTTTATTGTACGTTGCGGGGGTTTCTGATGCTTTTGTGGCTGCTGCCTGTCCCCTCTGTGAGAACAGTGCTAGAAGCTCAGCATTTCCACTTCTTTAGCTGTCAAAGCTTGTCTGTCTGTCTGTCTGTGCTCAGTGACAATGCCAGTGTACTTACATTTATAAGTACACTGGAAAATAATGTACACTATTTATATAGTGTACACTATATAAAAATAAGTACACTGGGAAATAGAAGTCAGAGCACAGAAAATCCAGGTGATTTAGCCCCTTACCTTACTGGCCACGCTAGCCTATCTGTGTTAATGAAGTCTCTTATGAACACCAAAGAAATGGTGTAATAATGGAAAGACAAATCTTTGTTGTATTAACAAAAGTCTGAACAGAATTCGTTATGTTTGTTGTTAACACACTGAGCACATTTCCCAAAGCCCTAGAAACATGATAGGAGTGGAGTATAGCCTAAAGGACTGGTTGCCTAAAGGAGCAGTCTTTGTACATCCCTTCTTCTGGTAGTGGTCCATGCTGGCCTCCCTCCCAGGCAGCCCCGAAAGGATGCTGTGACCCTCAAGAGACTGCATCTTCAGTGATGCACTGACACTGCAACCATCACATCTCCTACCCCCAGGCACCACTATGGGAGGTCCCCCATCCCCAGAGACCTTCCTCCTGGCTTTGGGTGGGTGCAATTCCTCTCGTTGCTTTGCTGTGTGTGATAAAGAGAGGACCCACACAGCTGACGAACACAATGGAGGGA